AGACAGGGGATAGGGCACAGAGGCGGCAGACAGACACACAGACAGGGAAGAGGCACAGTAGGGGCAGACAGATAGGAGAAGGGGCACAGAGGCGATAGACAGACACAAAGACAGGGGATGGGGCACAGAGGCGGCAGACGGGACAGGGAAGGGCACAAAGGTGGCCCATGGGGGCAGCCCCTCCTGAAAAACCGGTTGCCTTGGCAGATGCAGATGGGGAGCAGGCTCTGTGGCAGGTCTGAGCTCTGCGAGCCAGGGGGAGTGAAGACAGCCCTGTTGCGTCATTCTGATCACTGGGAAGGAGCCCGGGCTGCCCAAGGTGCCCGTATTGCCCTCCCTTTCCCCCAGCTTGGCTGGCCAGGGAAGGGGATGTCAGGTTCCCATCTACTGCAATGGCTTCTAGTTCAGGGGCACCCGGGGCTGGCTCCATCCCTCTCCTGGCATGGGAAGCCAACAGGCAACCAGAGAAGACTGCCCCCTGCTGGCCAGGGCGGGCTCCTTGCTGAGGGCTGAACCTCTCCCACTCCCGGCCCCTTAAGCCAAGGGAGTTACCTGGCTCATGCCCCTGGGGGCTTGGGCTGGTCCCAACTCCACCGCCTGGGACCCAGGGCAGGGCCTCTTTGCTGGATCCTCCTGGAGCTGCCCCTCCAGGGCCGGGCGCTTCGCAGGTGCCACCCCCATCTCTGCCCGGAACCGGTCGATCTCCGTGGCCATGCCGGTGACGAGCTGGGGCGGGAACTTGCTCTCGCCCTCCGGGCAGTTCAGCACCAGCTGCTCCTTGAGGAGGGTGACGACTGTCTCCGAGCTCTGCAGCTTCCTGCTCTGGGTGCGCAGGGCCCCCCTGGCCTCCGCCTCATCCTCCCAACCCTCTGACAATGGGGATCCCCCCAGCCGCTCCTTCAGCTCGGCGGTCTCCAGGCACAGGCTCAGCAGGGCTTTCCTGCAGGGGACATGGGGGCTGCCGTCAGCGTGGGGAGCCTGAAACAACCCAACCCCAAAGCAGCTCCCCACCTCTACTCCCCATCCCCACAGATCCCCCCAGCTCAGAGAGGGCTGGAGAGTTCCTCTTGCCCTGTTCTCCCAGGCCATCGATCGCCCTCCATGCTGCCTTGGGAGGGGCCCTGGGCAGCTGCATGCCAGGCCAAGCGGCTGGCAGGACTCCTGGCAATTTCCAATGCCCCTGCAATGATCATTGCCTGGCCTGGCGCCCCTCTCTCTTTAGGGTGACCAGATGTCCTGATTTTATAGGGACAGTCCCAATTTTTGGGTCTTTTTCTTATATAGGCTCCTATTACCCCCCACCCCCTGTCCCGATTTTTCACATTTGCTGTCTGGTCACCCTATCTCTCTTCACGTCTCTCGTTGGCTCCCCCATCTCCATCACACACAAACCATGGTCCTCCCTTTCGCAGCCTCTCCCCAGCCACCCCATCATCCCAGTCAGCAGCGAACAGTTGCCTCCCAGCTCTGCTGTGCCTGGGACGCCAGCCGCCATCGTCCTGTGCTGCCCCTGGCCTGGGAGACGCTCCCTGCCCGACCATCTGCAAAATCCTCCCCAGCCACTTTCGAACCCTGCCTTCAGGCTCCGCACTGCCGTGACCCCTGCAGGTCAGTGATGAGTGGAGCCCACTGCCCAGTTTTGTCTCTCTGACTCCTGGTTCTCCCCAATCTGTGTCCAGCTCTTATCTCCTGTCTGATACGTAGCTTGGCCGCTCCTAGGGGCGGGCACTGACTCTGTCTGTGTCTGGACAGCGCTTAGCATCACGGGGGCCTGGGCCATCACTGAGCTCCCAGGTGCTAGCACAATACAGATAGTAACCTGGGGCACCACGTGGTGGCTGACAGGGAGCAGCTGGAATCCCTCCCCTGGATGCCCCTCAGGCACAGACTCTGGCCCCTCTGCTCTCCACTGAGGGCCACACCCTCCTCCAAGCAGCACAGCTGGCTCCTGGGTGCAGACCGGCCCCTCCCCCCGCAGCCCACCCTCTGCCCCCATGTGCAATTTGCCATGGGGATGTGCTAAGCAGGAGAGTGAGTCTGCCATGCAGAGGGGTGGCAGCAGCATGGAACCACTTCCCCTTCCCCACTGGCAGTCCAGGATGGAGCACAACCAGGCCGGTGCCCTCTGAGGCTACGTCTTCACTACGGGGGGGAGTCGATTTAAGATACGCAAATTCAGCTACGCGAATAGCGTAGCTGAATTCGACGTATCTGAGCCAACTTACCCCACTGTGAGGACGGCGGCAAATCGACCTCCGCGGCTCCCCCGTCGACGGCGCTTACTCCTACCTGCGCTGGTGGAGTACAAGCGTCGATTCGGGGATCGATTGTCGCGTCCCGACGAGACGCGATAATTCGATCCCCAAGAGATCGATTTCTACCCGCTGATTCAGGCGGGTAGTGAAGACGTGGCCTGAGAACTTCTCCAGGATCAGGAGGCTGTAATGCAACCTATGGCCTAGGCCCGCAGGCACTGGAAGAGAGATGCATTGTGCAGACATCCACATCGCTCTCTTCTCTACAGCCACTGCCCACTGCCCTGGGCCTTAGCCCATATTGTCCTGCCCACACCCTGTGTCTCCCCTGTCCCCAGGCCCTCCCATTTAATTGTGATTCATCCCCACCTCCCTCCCCAGCTAGCCAGGGATCTACAGCTGTCAGCTGGACACTGCCAGACCCCAGGGGTTCTGTGACCCAGGACGCCCTCTGCCAGGCCCCTGGGGGGGTGGGGGTTGTGACCCAGGACGCCCTCTGCCAGGCCCCCGGGGGGTTCTGTGATCCAGGACACCCTCTGCCAGGCCCCCAGGGGGGTGGGGGTTGTGACCCAGGACGCCCTCTGCCAGGCCCCTGGGGGGTTCTGTGATCCAGGACACCCTCTGCCAGACCCCCAGGGGGGTCTGTGACCCAAGACACCCCCTGCCAGGCCCTTGGGGGTTCTGTGACCCAGGATGCCCTCTGCCAGGCCCCCAGGGGTTCTGTGATCCAGGCCACGCCATGTTTGGAAAAGTTTAGCCCATAGCTAAGTTGGGGGAGGGGGAGGTTTCGCTGACATAGGGGATGTCTACACTGCAGTCAGACACCCACGGCTGGCCCGTGCCCGCTGACTCAGGCTAAGGGGCAATTTAATTGCGGTGTAGATGCTCAGGCTGCAGCCCGAGCTCCTAGACCATCCCACCGCGCTGGGTCCTAGAGCCCAGGCCCCAGCTCAAGCCCGAATGTCTATACTGCAATTAAACAGCCTCTTCGCCCCAGCCCCTTCACCTGCATCAGCTGGCACGGGCCAGCCTGGGGTGTCTAATTGCAGTGTAGACATCCCCTAGTTAAAGCAGTGAAACCCCTCTAACATGGATGCAGTTATCCAAGGATAAGGGGCTGTTTAGCTTATTTCACTGTGTAAGCACGGGATAACTGAGCTCACGCTGGACAAGAAGAGGGAATTACAACACCTTCCCTGATTACTACAAGGGGCAGTACAGTAAAGGCCCAGTGAAAGTATAGCTGCCCTAACACTATCTCAGTGTGAACTACTGAAGGTTATTGGATTTGCTTGGCAGCCAGGAGGGGTGGTGTGACATTATTAATATGAACTGGAACCGTACAGTTCATTGTTGAAACCAAGGTCTTGTAGTCAGTGGTGAGCTGGAGCCGGTTCCCACCAGTTCGAGGGAACCGGTTGTTAAATTTAGAAGCCCTTTTAGAACCGGTTGTCCCGGTTCTAAGGGGGCTTTTAAATTTAACAAAATCTCTGGCAGCTCCCTGCCCTGCCCCCGGCCCCAGCTCACCTAGCTCCGCCTCCTCCCCTGACGCTCCCCCCGGCTTCTCCTCCCCGTCCCCTGCTTCCCGCGAATAAGCAGGGCTTTCTGCAGGTGAGCTGGGGCGGGGGCGGGGCGCGAGGAGGACTCCAGGCACCGCGCGGCCCGACCCGGCCCCAACTCCGGCCGCGCGGCTCTGGCCCGGGGTAAGAGGCCGGGGCCGGAGGGGTTGGATAAGGAGGGGACAGGGAGCGGGAGGTGGGGGGGGTTGGACGGGGCAGAGGTTCTTGGGGGGCGGTCAGGGGATGGGGAAGGGGGGGGTTGGGTAGGCGCCGTGTGGGAGTTCCGGGGGTCTGTCGGGGTGGTGGTGGATGGGGTCGGGGCAGTCAGGGGACAGGGAGCGGGGCGAGTTGGGCAGGGGGTGGGGTCCTGGGGGGCAGTTAGGGTTGGGGGTCTCGGGAAGGAGTGGTCAGGGGACAAGGAGCGGGGCGGGGGGTTATGGGCTGCGGTTTCTGAGGGGAGCAGTCGGGGGCAGGACATGGATGGGGGGTGTACTCACCGGGCGGTTCCCTACCGTGTCTTCGGTGGCGGCTCCTTCAGCCGCTGGAGCCGTGCCGCCGAAGACCCAGTAGGGAACCGGTTCCTAAGATTTTGGCAGCTCATCACTGCTTGTAGTGGCACCAAATCTTGTAGAAAGGGGATCAAATAAGGTGTCTAAGACAAGGTTATGGTTCGCTGGTTATAATTATGCTATCTGTATGTATGTATCATTTTTGTATTTAAAGTTATAAGTATTGGCTCTATACCGTCTATATTTCAAACTTGTGCTATGCTTCTGGGTGACAACCCAGACAAGTTGGTGTCAGCTCTGCCTAGCCTGCTTGATGGCCCATTAAGGACCATCAGCTATACAATCGACCTCTTGAGAGAAGGCAGATACACCTTGTGACTCAGCAAGGTATGCAGGAACATGCCTATGGACAGAACTCTAAGGTGGTTTTTTTTCTTGCCATGTGCCCGAATGCTTGTCTTTGGAACTAAGAAAGAGAGGCCACATGACAAGAGACTATAAAAGACTGCTGCAGCTCCTCCATCTTGTCTTCAGTCCTGCTTCATACCTCTGGAGGGACTTTGCTACAAGCTGAAGCTTTGAACAAAGGACTGAATGACCCATCCCAGCTGTGGATGTACTCCAGAGACTTGATTTGAACCTTGATTCCATCACTGCTACAAGCCTGAACCGAGAACTTTGCCATTACTGTATGTAATTGATTCCATTTAACCAATTCTAGCTCTCAACTATATCTTTTTCCTTTTATGAATAAACCTTTAGATTTAAGATTCTAAAGGATTGGCAACAGCTTGATTTGTGGGTAAGATCTGATTTGTATATTGACCTGGGTCTGGGGCTTGGTCCTTTGGGAGTGGGAGAACCTTTTTTCTTTTACTAGGGCATTGGTTTTCATAACCATTTGTCCCCATAACAAGTGGCACTGGTGGTGATACTGGGAAACTGGAGTGTCTAAGGGAATTGCTTGTATGACTTGTGGTTAGCCAGTGGGGTAAAACCAAAGTCCTCTCTGTCTGGCTGGTTTGGTTTGCCTTAGGGTTGGAAAAACCCCAGCCTTAGGCTCAAGTATCAGGGGGTAGCCGTGTTAGTCTGTATCTACAAAAACAACAAGGAGTCTGGTGGCACCTTAAAGACTAACAGATTTATTTGGGAATAAGCTTTCGTGGGTAAAAACCTCACTTTTTCAGATGCATGTAACTGCCCCGCTTTAAGCAATTTGTCCTGAATTGGCACTCTCAGTTGGTTCCCACCAGAACCAGCATCGTTACAGGTGGAAAGCCTAAAGAAAAGGCTCCTAAGGGGTGTATTGGAAACTGCTTTGGGTGGAACTGGATTAGGAGTTGGAATACTGGATGCTACTAACATAGAGGTATTGGCAAACAAACTGAGTTATGTTACAGCTGAAATACAAGAATCTAGAAATCCCATCAGTGCATCCTTATCAAAATGAGGAATGGGGCAACACTTATTTTCTAAAGTACGGCCAGTATGGCAACAGCAAGGTGAACAGGATTTATTACTTTTAGCAGGGGCTATGGGAACTGTGATAAATGAAGGTGGGGGGAAGGGTAGGTCCTCTTTATGGACACTCAGCCAGCCAGTAGCTATAAAATCCCTCTTAGTAGCTGTTCTCTAATTGCTCTACCTGTAAAGGGTTAAAAAGTCTCACTGCTATGCATAGGTAAAAGGAAGTGACTGGGCACCTGGCCAAAAGAGCCAATGGGAAGGCTAGAACTTTTTAAAATTGAAACAAGAGTCCCCTTTTATCTGGCTGCTGTTGTTCTCGGGGAGAGGCAGACAGGGAGCAGTTATGCTGTGAGAAACTTGGGCCAGGTACGGAAAATCATCAGTATCATACCTAGAAACTATTCATCTAAAACCCCAGATATGTAAGTAGATCAGGAAATGTCTAGGAAGATGTGATTAGGTTTATCCCTTTTATTTCTTTATGGCTTGTGGATTCCTCTGTGCTAACCCCAGGTGCTTTTGTTTTGCTTGTAACCTTTAAGCTGGACCTCAAGAAGCTATCTTGATGCTTAATCCTTGTAATTGATTTTTTTTTTAAACCTAGCAAAAAGCCTAAGTTGCAGATGTATTTTCTTTCTTTTTGTTTTTAATAAAATTTACCTTTTTTAAGAACAGGATTGGATTTTTGTGTCCCTAAGAGGTTTTGTGCATATGTTGTTTAATTAGCTGGTGGCAACAGCTGATTTCCTTTGTTTTCTTTCTCAGCTCTTCCCCAGAGGGGGTGGGTGTGTGTGTGTGAGAGAGAGAAAGGGCTTGAAAGTACCCCACAGAAAGGAATTCCCAAGTGTGCCTTCCTGGGTTCTCAAAGGGGTTTTGCCCTTGGGTGGTAGCAGCATCTACCAATCCAAGGTCAGAGAAAAGCTGTAACCTTGGGAGTTTAATACAAGCCTGGAGTGGCCAGTATTAATTTTTAGAGTCCTTGCGGGCCCCCACCTTCTGCACTCGAAGTGCTAGAGTGGGGAATCAGCCTTGACAGGAACAATTCAAGAAAATGTGTCCTTAGCATTAGCCTGTACACAGGCCCAAGAAATAAGTCAGCAATTGGTCGTCCAAATGATTCGGGAAGGTATACAAGGAAATTTGCTTTTGGAAATAAAAAAATTGTTGTTAGAAAAATGTTACAGGATGGGAGAGACAATTAATGGCATGGTGCAAATTGGTAAACTTTACACTGAATAAAGACCAAATGGTTCTACGAGCATATGTAGTAAAAGAACACCCCTGTCTAACTATTGATATATATCCAGTGGTACCTCTGGGAATCCAGCTAACAAAATATTTGGTTATGTATTCCGCTGATCATCATTCCTGGGCATATAAAGAACATCAGCAATGGAAAACCATTGACATGTTTCAGTGTGTGGCCTATGAAAATTTGGGATGTGTATGTGAGGATCAAAATTTACAAAAGAAGAGATAAATGTTTTTATGCTCAAACCTAAGGGACCTAAAGATGTATGTTTGATATATTCACTGAACAAAAGTCAGCTGTTATATATATATGCAGGAAGGGGATGTGTTTGTGTCAGGAATCACTGTCCAATGGTAGTAGTATATTATAAGGAATTGTTTTTTTATGATTTATTTAGTTAATAGATGTTTTTGCAATATTACAAAAATTATAAGTTGCGATTTTTAATACTATGTTCCCTTATGGACTGTAAACTACTTAAAGTTTAAACCACAGTTGTATCACAATGCAACGCCTGTAAACTTAGGCATGAATAAGACCATGATAAGGAAATTGTTGGCCCATCCTATGTTATATTCATATTTACAATATGTTGCACAGACAGGAAAGCAAATACGTATTGACGTACCACATGATAATACAAAAATCATATGTGCTGAAAACTATTGCAAATGCAGGAGATCACTCTTGGTGGGAAATGCTATTAGGGTGGTCGCCTTCTGCAACTGGTATGCTAAATATAATGGTTCACCCCATTGTGGTGATCATTGGAATCCAATTGGCTCTAATAGTGAGCATAATAGCTTTGGCTTGCTGGATGAAGAGAACTGTTCAGAGAATACAGGAAGCTGGCATTCAAAGTCAAATAAGGCCCTTGTTAATTATACCCAGGAGGCAAGCTCAAGCTCAACAGGTCTGAGTATTGGACTCCTGTAATAGTAATGACGGCTTTGGTAAAAGTGTCATTAAGGAGAGGATTGTAAGGTCTGAGGCCTTTTTCTACAGTAAGCAGCAGCAGCCATAAGCTAAGAAGCAGAGAGTCACATCCTCACATAAAGGGCTGTTAAGGAGGCTCCTGTCCTAATAGTACCAACCATCACCAGATAAAGAAACAGATCTTAAGAAAACTTTGTTTGATGCATTCTGTCTGTCAAGGAATCACTTATCAACAGCTGTGATTGTGAAATCTCTATTTCTTTATTGTTTGCCTTTACAGTCCCCACTTCTCTACTGTTTATCTGTAGGGTCTCTGTCTGGTTCTTTGATTGTTTCTGTCTGTTGTATAACTAATTTTGCAAGATTTAAATCAACTAAGGTGGTGGGGTCTGACTGGGTAAAGAACTGTTTTGTAATGGGGTCGGATGGGTGAAAAACACTGTTTTGTAGGACTTTAGTTTAAAATGATTGGTTAAGGAAGAGCTAAGCAGGACTCAAATGTAACTATATAAACTGGGGTCCAAACAGAAGTTCTCTGGAACCTAACCCCAGGACACAGCCCAAGATCAGAGCTGCCAGACTCCACATTCTGCCAATCATACTGTGCAGAAGCTGGAGTCCCCGGATGACCTGATCCTGACTGGCCACCAGGAAAAGTGTGTCTGCCTTATTAGGAGTGGTGAGCATTGTATGCTTAGCGTGTGCAGTCTATTTTGGTGACTGTTAATAAATAGAGGTTAAGGCTATTACTGTGTAAGGCTTTTTCACTGGCAAAAGGCCCCACAAACCCACAGAAGATTACGCCCTGAGCCCTAGGAACTGGTTATAGGCAGGTGCCTTTCGCCCGGAGCCGTAGGAACTGGGTACGGGTGGGGGTGCCTAAATTAACCGGGTTATGCCTTGAGCCCACGGAAGGGTAACGGTGAAGTGCCCTAAAGAGTCTGTGCTCCCTCCTTGCCCTGCAGCCTGATACCCTCACACGCTCTCATGACCCCAGGCTCTCATGCCCGAATTGCGTCAGCCTGTCCTACCTGATGGGAGAGAGAGACGAGAAGCCGGCTTCCTCCATCAGAGCCTTCAGTTCCCACAGCTCCCCTTCCACCTTCGCCTTCTGCTCCAGGAGCTGCTGGTTCTTGGCTCTGATGTGGAGCAGCTCTGCCTGCAGGCTGCTGTCCCTCTCCAGGGGATCCAGGGTGAGGAGATCAGGCTGTGCTGCCTCGGCCACCAGGCTGTTCACAGGGAGGCCTTGACTGGTCTGGAGGGGAAGCGTGGTGCCATATGAGAGGTTATTGCGAAGGGCTAATGTGCAATGGTCACTGAGCTGCCTGGGGCAGGGCTGGATGGTGCCCAGGGAGGCCTTTAAAGCACCGACCCTGCAAGCTGCACCCAAAGGCCTTTGGTTCCTGCTGGATTTCTTCACCAGGCACCAGGCCCCGGTTCTCAGCTGATCAAAGCAGCCAACCTGACTCCCAGCTGTTTAGCAATGAACAAATCTCAGGTCAGCTGCACAGCTCCAAGGCAATCTGCCCTGGGTCCTTCCAGGAGCTCCCCTGGCCGCCCCACTCTGGCCGAGCTCCGGCAGCACCTCAGCAGAGCGGTGCATCTCTTGGACTCACCTGCTGGCTCGCGGCGCTGGGCGGCGCCTCCCCCTCGACGCTGTCAGCGCTGCCATCCTTGGCGTCCTCCCGTCCAGGCTCACCTAGCAGAGACACCAGGCCATGAAGCACTCAGAGCAAGAACAACCCAGGCTCTTCCAGCCTCATCAGAGTTTCCACTAGCCCAGCCGCTCTGCAGGCACCCAGTGTGGGGAATGCCGCCAAGGCCCCACAGTGGCTAGAAACAAAGGACTGAGCCAGGCCAGCTGCTCCCACCCTGGGGCATGGACCCATTCCCTCCCTGCGCCAGGCACCCCCATAGGGCTCTGGAGGCCAGTCCCTGTCCCTGTGAGACAGCGTCCCACTGGGAAAGCCCTCACAGCTGGGGCTGCACACGCTGCAGGGAAGTCTACCTGCACTCCCCGAATGGCCTCTGGGCCTGGAGCAGCAGTAAGTGAGGCTGACCCAGCCCTGCCCAGGAAAATACCCACCCCAGCAATCCGTGCCCCATGGTGCCCTCTGACACAGCCAGTCACCGGCAAGCTAGGCCCAGTTCCTGGCTTCCCAGAGACTCAGAGCCATGGGCCTTTCTGCAGAAGATGCCCTGTGCACATTCCTGCCCTTTCCCAGCAAGCAAAAGCTGCATGCACCCCAACCCCCACCCCACACACACACACAATGCCATGCATGAGGCCCATTCCCACCCAGCTCCCTGCAGTTCCCCCCATGCCTGGATGGCCTCTCCTTGCTGCAGGAAGCCTGAGAGGGAAGGCACGCAGCTCCCAAGCTGGGTTCCCTGTAAGCTGCATGGTCACGACACCACGCAGCAGCCTATTTTGCGCCATGCAGGCACTCAGGGAACCCGCCCGGGGACCCACTGTGGCTGGGAGAGGGGCACCCTTCCCCTGGTCCCAACCTAGCCCGACCCCCAACCTGCCATGGCCGGGGCGGCCCCCCAGCCCCAACTATGCCACAGCCTGGACCTGCCGCAGCTGGTGCCCTCCTACCCTGGCCCGAACGCGGCTGGGGTGGCACGACGCGGATCCAGCCGCAGCCAGGGCGGCGTGTTGCAGCCCGGACCCAACTGCGGCTGAGGCAGCGCGGTGCGAACCTAGGCGGCCGTGCCCAGATCCAGCTGCGACGGCCCAGCCCGGACCTGTCGCAGGGCACCCCTCCCTGAACGTAGCCCCGGCTGGACCTGCGGGATTTGGGGGGGGGGCGCCTATTCTGCAACCCCAGTCCCGAAGCTGCTGCAGTGGGGAGAGGTGCCTCTCCCCCTGCCAGCCCAGGTGCTGTTGCGAGGAGTCCTCTCTCCCAGCTGTAGCCCCAGAGCACCCTCCCGCACCTCAAACTCCTCATCCCCGGCCCCACCCCAGAGTCGGCACCCCCAGCCGGAGCCTTCACCCCCTGCACCCCAACCCTCTGCCCCAGCCCTCACCCCCAGCTGGAGCACTCACACCCCTGCACCCAACCCTCTGCCCCAGCCCTGAGCCCCTCCCACACTCCGAACCCCTCGGCCTCACCCCCACCACATTCATTCTGTTATGTGCACCGATATGAAGGTGAGGTGTCACACATCACCTCCATATTGGTGCACATAACAAAATTCATTCCACACATGTGTGGGAAAAATTAGAGGGAACACTGCTCCCAAGGCCGTGGGGAGGGTGCTTGACAGGCAAGGACTCCAGTGTAGCACGTGCTGCGGACCCAGGGACACTGCACGACCTAGTTACTGTGCAACAACAAGCAGAATAAATCTGCAGACACCACCGATCAGCCAAAAGGGGTCTGGTCCAAAAGGGAGAGGGGAAGTGATGAATAGGGGACCCAATGGAACCCCAACCAAATGACCTTTGCAATAACCCTCTGGGTCAGGACTGGAGCTGTCAGGTGCTACTGCAGTACTGATGGATAATAATAATAATTGTGTTACAAGCTCTCTGCTCCCTGATGCCCTCACCCCTGACAGCTCACCGCACAGCCAAGGGCTTCTCTCAGCCTCTGGGCACTCTTCTGCCCAACAGGACCAAGCCTCACAACCATCAAGGCGCCGCCAGACTCTGCTCTGCCTGTCAATTGTGGTTCCTGACACCGGCTGCCTAGAGCTTGGCAAGACCCATCAGGACAGGAAGGGAAAAGCCAGGAACTGACGGGTCACCGGCTGATCCCAGGGCTGCAAAGAGCCCAGCAACAGGCCATTGCTGGGAGTGAACATCTTAGGGAGGTTTGGAGTCAGCCGCAGGAAATAGCAGCGCTGGGCCTGAGCCTCAACCCCGGTGCAAATCAGCACGACTCCACTGCCTTTGACAGATCAACACCGACTCCCACGTGCCGTGGACTTGGCTCCACCTGCTCCAATATCAGCAGCAAAGAGGGAGGTTACAGGACAGAGTGAACCTCACAGGAAGCCATCCTCAAATACCGGCCATGGCTGGCTAGTGACCCCAGCAGATACCCAACCACCTAAGCATCAGTGCTGCATGCTGTCCATCGCCCCCAGGCTGGATCGCCCATGTTTAGCACCAACAGCGCTGAGGGCAGAGCGCTGGAGGAGAGTGCTGTCTTGGCCATGCGGCGGCAGGGCTCTCCTCCCTCCACAGGCTGGCAGGGCAAGGTGCTGGCAGCAGAGCATGGTATGGTTACTCTGCTTTAGTCCTGTTGGCTCAGCCAGAGCCAGGCTGCCTCTGGCCTATCCCAGATTCTCCTATGGATTGTGAGGAGAGGGCAACAGCCACTTCCAGCTCCAGAACCGGGAGGTCAGACACGGTGCAGTGCCCAGCCCTGCACCACAGAGGGTGCTGAGGGAGACCCCCTGGTCTGTCCCACAAGGAGGGTCCAGGGCTTTATCTGAGCCTAGTTGGGGGATATGTTAATGGGAGAGGAGACCCTGCAGCCTGGGCCAAGGTTGACTGCCCTGCCCTCTGCACGTGAAGCACTGCGGCTATGGGGAGTGGCCTGTTGGGCAGCAGGACAGAGCCACCCTCAGTTGCTGGAGCAGGGTGGGATGCAGTTACCTCTGCTGACCACGGCATGCCAAGCGCTCTCCAGCCCTTCCCACTTCCACAGGACCAGAGCTGGCCAGTGGGCTGCCAAGTCTGGGATCCACCCTCTGCCATTAAAGCAATACCGGGGATTTCAGGGGAAGGCAACGCCTCTCACATAGCACCTGGCTAATTGTCAGTGCCACACACGGTGAGAACTGCTGCCTGGCCTCAGCAGAAGAAAAACTGATGCCCTGAAGCATTAGATTTGATTACATTTATTTTAGCTCCTTGTCCATAAACTCAGATTCTAGACTCTGACCTACAGGCAGTGAATTCAGAAACTGTGTGAAGAGAGCTTTTCTTTGCTCTGAATGTAACGCCATTTAAGCAGGAAAACTCCCTGGTTCTTGCAATGTGAGGCAGAATGAGCAGAGGGACCAGTCGAGCTTCTAAACTTCCCTTCATGAGGTTCAGTATCTCAATCGAGTCTCCTCCAAGCCTCCTTTTTCTCCCCACCGAGGCTTTGAAGCCCATCTTGGGACAGGCACCATTTCAGTTAATTTTTTCTTACAAGTCTATCAAAGCTGAGCCCAGTTCTGCCCCTCTTTCAAGGTACTCATGCATCCTAGCTAACTGTACACTGGCCAGGTGCTCTCTGGAGCCACCTCCAATAGCTTCTCCATTGCTATCCTCAGAGGATCCCACCAATTCAGAGACCATCAATACAGCTGAAAAATTCAGTCTATTGTCGCTAACGTGCCTTGCCAGGCACTTCCCTTCTGCCTTCTAGTGTCATTAGCGAACTCCCCCAACTCAAAAGCTCTGCTGCCTTCTCCAATCAGTCTATTTCAATGGCTTGCGTTCCTTTGCTCCCACTAGAGTTACGGTTGCAAAAGTTTCCACAGATCTCCCTGTTTTCACATGCCCAGAACTTTCTGCAGCAGCCATTCTCCATGCTGATGGAGAAATCCTGGCTCCGCTGAACTCAAAACTTACTTCAACAGCATCAAGATTGCATTGCACCATTAGTCTCGGCACTGGGCTATCCTCTCCCCCATTTTTTAATGTGGGCAGAGCCCCTTAGGGAGTTTTTCCATATATGAGTGTAAGTAAAATACACTTTTTGGACTTCAAGGCAAACATAAGAACAGCCGTAGTGGCTCAGACCAGAGATCCATCTAGCCCAGTATCCTGTCTTCCAACGCTGCCCAGTGCCAGATGCTACTGAGGGAGTGAACAGAACAGGGCAATTTATCGAGTGATCCATGCCCAGTCATCCAATCCCAGCTTCTGGCAGACAGGTTTAGGGATTATTTAGGGAAAATTTGGATGGCTCTTGTTTGAAGCAGGGCTTTAGCAGCCAGTGCTGAGCACTGTCCGGTTGAGGATGCACTTGCCATGTATTCTGGATAGGCCAAATATTTCACAGACCGCCTATATTTACAAATGGTAGAGAGGCTTTATTACAAAATACTCAATGCTATTTTTATCCTTCCATGCTAAGGTGCTTGACTCAGGCCTGCTGCCCTCTGCACTAACCAGCCTATATACTTCTTGTTTGGAGGGGTCCATACACAGCAGGACAGACCCCCCAGGAAGGGGCGTATGGGTGCCAGTGAGTTTAAGCTGTCTCTCTCAGCTGGCTGTGGGCTGCTGTGCAGATCAAACTTGCCTGAGCTCAGAGCATTCTGACCACCACACCCCCTCTTGCTCCTCGCATACCCCTAGGCTGGGGGATGAGAGGGGACAGCAAAGGTCCATACACTGGCCCTGCACTGGGGGAATCCCCTGGGGGCTTCCCCCCCCCCCACCTTCAGACCCCCATGTCCCACTGGAGTGGCACATAGGAGCTGTAGCAGCCAGGGCCCTGAACCTGTCCCAGGATTCCTGCTGCTGTCTAAGTGGAGTCATGAGGGACCATCTCCTCTCTGTTCCATCACAGTCATATAGGCAGCGCCAATTCTCACTGGTGCTTCCCAGCCATCTCAGATACAAACCTGTCTGCCCACTCAAGTCCCCCACTCTTTTTTGGCATTACCCTTTCCCCATAGCTCACTCCCATGAAATAGGTGGGTCTCTGGTTAGTTTGCCCAAGATGCATTAGAGCTGCATTCTCCAGATCAAGTCTTTGTTTAAAATGGCCTGTGTGCCATTCTAACAGCTCTAACAGCAGCTGATTTGCACATGGCCTGCCAGTACAGTACCAGTGCAAATTTCAGGGTCATTTCCTGCTAGTCCAGCTCATTCATAAAACCAGCCCTAACACTGATCCCTGCAGCACCTTACTAGAAACCACCTCCCAGCCCCAGCGGCTGCCGTTTCTATCTTTTGGTTCTCTCCGTGCTAGGGTCCAACTCATGCCAGCTACTAGTTTAGACGTGGTTGTTACCAGCAGGACTCTGCTGCAGTTTCTTTGAGCAGTGAGAACAATCTCTCTCACCCTCTCATACCCATATAAGTACAGCCAGTTGCAGGCTACCTGGGGTATTGGATGTCTCGAAACAAAGCGCTATACCGGCATTCTGAGGATTCATTGCTTGAAATCCCCCCGCTACTTATTGCTCTTGGTTCCAATATACCTTCCATCTTTACCGATCTTTTTCCTCTTAATAACTGGTCCAACATTTTCCTAGGGAAAGAAGCTGAACTTACCAGCTGGTAATTGGCAGGGCTGTTCTCCTTTTCCTGACTTGAAGATTGGATCCATACTGGCTTTTCCCCATGCTTGTTCAAAGAGTTAGCCATGATTCAGTAAACTTGTTAATTTGCCTATTAGTCTAGGATGCAGGTGACTTGGACTCACTGGCATATTCTGCAAAGCATTCCCTCTCTGCTCTGCAGAGATCACTAATTATCAGAAGGGTTTCCTTTACCGCCTAATAGGCCAAACAAGTTTACATAGTGAGATTTTAAAAAGCAGCTTCCTAGCCCCAACATATTCAATACTCTAATTTATTTGCCCCCCTAGTGTATTAGCAAAGCCCTCTTTTGGCTAGCCTGGCATTGCTCTGCCCCTCTGCAAGCCGTGAACAAGCCCCACCCAGAGTCTCTTTGAACTTCACATCCTGGAGCAGCCCTTTGCAAAGCTGCGGCAGTGCGTCGTGTTCCTTGCACCTTCCTGCACGGCGTAGAGCATCGTTTGCACTAGGCGCGAGCTCTGCCAGGTTCCCCTTCAGCACAGGTAGGTTACGACTCCTGCCATTGTGCTGGGCTTGCTGGATGCTGCAGTTTCCCCATGTTTGCTCTCCTGCCCGGCCGCACTCAGGGAGCCTGATCCTCCCCAGGGCCCTCCTCCAGCCAAACCTGCGAGAAAGAGCCTCTCACCATTCCCCTCTCACTGCTCCATCAGGTGGTGGGGCTCCCTCTGTGGGATGAGTCAGCTGAGCATCTCCCACCTCGGCAGATCCCACACGATCCACTGGGAGCCCTGTCCCTAGGTGAATGGCTCTGAGGCAGCTGTATTATCAGGGTCTCTCGAGTAATTTCCTCTGGGACCCCCAGCAGGTTGGGAGCATACAAGGCCCCCAGTGTATTCTCCCTGGCTCCTGGGCCTTAGGAAAAGGTGAGAGCTCTCCCAATCTCAGCATATTTCAGGATCAAGCCCCACAGTGAATATTCATATCTTCACACATTCATATCTTCACCCTTCCCTTCTGACCCTCAGCCAATACCAGCCAGCCCTGATGATTTACTGCACCCAAGCTTCCCCTGGCTGCTCCAGAAACTCCTCTTTAGAGGCTTCAGTCTTTGGCAAGGCAACACTGGGATGATTTTCACCATTGTCTGAAGAGTCATGCCAATAAATCCATCTAATTGCAATGCTTCCATTTCCATGGCCCCTGGGAACGTAGGGTCCCGCACCCAGGCAGCCTGCTGGCTTCCTACCACTAGGACGGCTGTTTCTGGAGAAGAGCAAAGGGGCAGTATCCTGCTGCTGGGGCTAGCGAGGTGCTAGTTTGGCCACACTCTTAGAGCAACCTCAAGGCTCTCCTAACCTGCTCCCCTGGCCACTCCGTAACCAGGAATAGCTGGAGGGATGCGCTGCTTTGGTCACACCCCCTTTAGCATGTCACAGGGGAGGGGGGCTGCAAGAGGGCACCTGCCTGAGCTGCTACATGGGTTCTCTGCACATTGGGTTTTCCTCCTGCACAGAGGGGAAAGCCCAGACAACTAAACCAGCTTTATGAGCCTTCGGCACCTCCACAGCACCCACGAGTCAGGCCCATCGCTTTTACTGGCTTTCCTGTGCTTCCGCAAACTCTCTGCACCTCTGCTACAGTGTCTTAGCTAGCCTCCCGCAGAGCTCACCACCTGTCTGGCAGGCACCAATATGGGGGGCTAAAAAGCAGGCAGACAAGGTTTCAAATTGCTTTGCAAAACCTTGCCCTCTGAGATTGCACTTGTAGCACCTAACACAAGAGGACTTAGAGCGGTAGCAGCAAAAGGCCTGTTCTGCTCCCAGCAGGAGCAGGCCCAGTTTTGTGATTTCCCTCATCTCTTAACATATTCGGACCCTTGAAGCAGTTTCAGCTGGTGCACATCAACGCAGCTCCCCTGAGAGCAATGGGGCTGCACGGAGGCACACCAGCCAAGCTGGCCCCTTGTGGCTACTGCACCTGGGAAGCCTGCAGTGCACCAGTTGTGTCCTTCTGAAATTAATAGGCAGCATGTTTACAACAAACAAAAGGAAGTATTTTTTCCACACAACACACAGTCAACCTGTGGCACTCCTTGCCAGAGGATGTTGTGAAGGCCAAGACTATAATAGAGTTCAAAAAAGAACTAGATAAGTTAATGAAGGGTAGGTCCATCAATGGCTATTAGCCAGGATGGGCAGGGATGGTGTCCCTAGCCCTGTTTGCCAGAAACTGGGAATAGGCAACAGGGGATGGATCACTTGATGATTACTTGTTCTGTTCATTCCCTTTGGGGCATCTGGCATTGGCCAGTTGGAAGACAGGATACTGGGCTAGATTGACGTTTGGTCTGATGCAGTATGGCCATTCTTATGTTCTGACCCCTGGGATTTTTAAAGCAATAGACCCCAGCCCTTGGTCATCTCCAGTATGGAGTGATCTTTCCATACCATGTACAGCTCCTTTTTATATAGCACAGCTCGTCCTCCCCAGCAGCCTAACCTAGCTCTCTCACACAGCCGGGAGACAGGGTCACCCAACGGCATGAGATGCTCACAACACTGACCTCCTCTTACCAAGCCAAGTATTTCAGCTGGCTCAGTTGAAGTTTTAAGCTTCCAGCTTTAGCATAAAGACACTTCCTACCGAATATTGCCACCGCCTTAGTCTGAGCCCCATTGAGTTGCAACCCTGCTTTTAGGGAAGGGGACGGCTGGGGAAACCAATGCTTGTCTCAGAACATCCTTCAGATTCACTCTCTGACACACACGTGCTGAGACCCACCCATACTCCAGTGGAGTACTGCTCGGTTGGGACTCTGTCTGCTCTTATTTAGCACATCCATGAACGATGAGGGAAGAGCAAACAGAGCTGTGATAGACCCCCCCCCCCCACCGATGACAGTGGCTAGCGGGGATGTGGCCTACGCTCCAGCGGAAACAGAAATCACTCAAAAGGTCCCTTCCAAGGTTAGAAACGTGGTCAGGCAATAACACAAGGAGAGGCAGCTCTGAAAAATGAAAAACAAAGACAGCTAGAAGGGAGAAAAGTATCTAATGGGAGGTTAAGGCAACAGGAACACAAGTATGAGATGGGATGAGTGTGCAATAGGATGGGGCTGCAAAGGAAAACCCAATGGGATTGGGAGCTGCATGTGCAGAGCAGGGAGGTATGGGAGTCTGGTGTGTGTGAAACTAGTCTATTGTGTCTGACAGAAAGTGGTGAGGAATTAACAGGCAATCACCAGAGAGAACTACTGAGAAGTGGAGCAAGGAGAAAAGGAATGCAACTGAGCAGGGCGCTGGAAATGTCGCTGCAGCTGGGGCTGCCTAATGCCCAGCATAATTGGGCCTGGGCCTGACGTAAAGGATTCTTTGTAGCAGAAGAGCCCAATATGCATCGCTTCTCTTTAGGTGACAAAAAAGAGGGAACTTGGTAGGAGTCTACCAACACCTGAAGGGTGCAAACGCCCTGCAGAGAGGGGAATTATCCAGGCCAGGGGAGGAGAAGGAGCAACAGTTTTTAAAAAAGGAGAATTGAAACAATCAGGAAGACAGGCCTGCCAGGGCGATCTGTCCTTAGACCATGAAATAGACTTCCTGGGACAGCAGCTCCATCACTGTTGGTATTTACACCGGCCTGGACAAAGCACTGATGCTACATCACAGGGAAGAACTCCAGAGAGAGGATGGCAGTGGATGGGCTAAAAATAACCTACCAGGTAACTGTTAGGTCACGTATTTGGTCCCTTCTGGCCTTGGAATCTATGAATCTCTCCATCTTTGCCATCTCTGGGTCTAATTCCCTCTGCCTTGCACCAGTGTAGCAAGTGTAAACGCTGCTATTCTGAGTGGGAAGCATGGCACCCCCACTCTGGCTGGCACAAGAGACTAAGAGCAGTCTGTACTGCTACAGGTGGCTAGAGGTAACGCAAACAGACTCTGGAGATAGCACCTTTTAACAAGGAGAGACCTCTCTCGGCCTGTGGGTCAACTAGTCAATATACTGGCCATTTATTTGCAGCTACAAAGGAATGTTTAGACTCCACCATCTATCTTTGCAATGGCTTCTGGGATAACCTGGAAACCAGGACTGGCACAAGCATTGTCCCTCGACACAGCTAGAGGCCTGCATACTCTGCTCCCCGCTGCCCTCAGGAGGTCACTGTTGGTGGCCAGCAATTCAATTTTTGATCCAAAAAATGGGGAGGGATCAGAAGATTGGAGAAAAGCAAACGCTCCACCCTGTCCCCCCCCAAGGAAAGAAAAGGGATCTGGCCATTCTCCTTCTGTGCCCTGACAGTAAAATAATGGAGCATGGGGGAAAGCACTACACATCTCACAGCTATTGGAATCATGAGCAAGCAGGAACCAAGATTTTGCCACACAAAGCTGAATGCTTTTTTCACTAGGCTCAGTGGCTGAAGGGGATGCAGCAGATGCGCTATATTTGGACTTATAAAGCATGCGATACTCTCTCATGTCACCATACTCTTAGAACTGAAGTCAGCTTTGGTATAAATACTAGTATGTGGACAGAAAGCGGTCAGAACGGCCATCCAGAAAGGCTAATGACACAGGTTATGCTAACCCACACAACAGCAGTGCAGGATGCAATGGGGTGCTGCAGGGACTAGTCTTAGCTACAGCCTATCTTTATCGATGCTGGGAATGGGGGCACAGGCAGCCCAGGAATGAAATTCAGATGAAACTAAAATGCGGGAGGGTCAGGAGGGAGATGTACTCCAGGCAGAAAATACAAGGTTCAGAGGATTGAAAACCTAGTGGCCAGGGGACTAGCCCAGGACTGAGAAAACCCTAGTTCAGTCCCCTGCTCTGCAACAGACTTCCTGAATGACCTTGGGCAAGTCACTTAATCTCTGTCAGTTCCCCAGCTGCAGAATAGGGCTAACAGCACTGCCCGACCTCCCAGGGAGTTATGAGGATAACTGCTAAAAGGATTTGTAAAAAATCCTTTACATAGAGCTTGGAAAGAACTAAGCTAACATCGGGGGGAAACAGTCCAAACCCCAGCTCCAGGGTATGCTGGGAGGCCAGGATGCTGAAAGAAGCAAATCAGACACAAGACTGCAGCATGACAAAACTGGAAAAAGAAAACAATGCAGTGACAGCTCAGGGCTGCATATGTAAAAGCATCATCACATCACCTGTCCTTTAGGCCATGCCAATACGACTTCATTCTGTTCTGGGCACCTTACCAGATATTGATGAAGTGGAGAGAGAGTCAGTTCAGAGAGGGGTGATAGAGTTAGCAGGGTAATGGACTAAGGAGGAAAGATTAAAAGAGCTACATCTGTCTGGGATGGCAAAGGGGGAACACAACAGTAATATCTGCAGGATGTAAACAGCACACGCAGAGAGAGAGGAGAGTGTGATACACAGATGTAACTAAGAGTGATGGGATGAAATTAAGAAAGGAGAAATCTAGATTAAATATTAAGAGAAACTTCCTTTCAATGAAATGTATTAGGCTGCGAAAGCAGCCCCCAGAGTAGCAGTGGAATGGCTATCAATCAGCACATTCAAACAGTAGCAAACACGCATTGGAAAAATCCTGAATTGGCCAGGGGGAGATGGCCTGGACACACCTAGCCAGGGCTTTTCCATCCCTGCCTAGAACTCAAGGGTGGAAAGCACACAGGAGGGAAGAGGGTTAAAACACATGAATGGTTTGGTCTCCTCCTGACAGAAGCGTGAGAGCTGCTCTATCCCTTCTACATGAATGAGGCAGTGTGCAGGGAACGAGGACACCGAAGGGAACTGCAGCTCCTCAGCCCAGGTTGCTCTGCCATCCCAGGTTGAGGCCTCATGTTATTGCTCACTGTTGAGAGGTTGGTCCAGATAAGCACACGTAAGAGACGGAGAGTGGGTGGCTAAGCGATGTACTGGATCTAGTCCCACCCATGCTCACAGAAAACATAAGAAGTGGTAGATTTCCCCTCTGCCACTCAAAGGATGGCTGCTGAAAAGCTGGTGTGGGAAATCCCTGCTGGTTTGGCTCTCCTGGTTTACGGCAGTAGGAATACCTTTATGAAAGAGAAACTGAGGCCCTGGAATAGACATTGCACTCATGAATGGAAATGCCCACTTGCAAAATAGCATAGAGCCGCATATGCCCAGAGGGGTCCTGCAGCCTGACCTCAAGTGTTCAAAGCAGCGCAAAGAACTAGGGTCTACTCGTCACGGACTAGAGGGGCATGCACAAGCTGAGAACACGGAGCAGAGTCGTCATGGCCCATTCCACCCTGAGAGGAACACGTCCTGCCAGGTCAGACTGGGCTTTGTCACTCCCAACCCCTCTCAGCCTCAGCCTTTTGTCCTTGAGAGGCTGGGAACTCTTTCCTTTTGCTGCACAGAGGAGCTTGCTGATGATGACAACCCACGGGGACAAAGCTTAGCCCAGGACGAATGAGTCATGTTCCAAGGCTGGCAGAGAGACTGTCTCAACCACAGAAATGGAAGAGATTCCAGTCAAGGCTTCCACAGGAGCTGGATCCGGCTGTAGGCTAAAACGGGTCATTTCGTTGTTAGGCCAAGAATCAACATCAGTGATACAGCGACTACCAAAAAAGGCCCTCCTCTCTGGCTGCCACTGTCCTTGTCAAAGGGCCTAGCTCTGTCTGCAAGGGAGAACTTGCTTCTCCCCAGACACTTTGCTCTCTCTTTACTCTGTCATGCGGTTGCGGAGGCAGCCGTTGTCCTATGAGCAGCACTTAACTGACTGGGAAAGATTTGGAGGAAAATAAAAATACACACCCATGCATTTGTGAGATGGCACAGAACATTTAAAATCGCTTTCACAGGGAGGGAATCTTTATTTGGCCCATTGGGAGAGGAACAAAGGGAGGAGTAGGAGAAGGATGGAGGTGGATCAACTAAAATGGAATGACTCAAATGTGCAAATATATTTCATAACCTCCCCTGAAGGACCAGAGACAGGTACATAGACGAGACACACATGGGTTGCACGGATCGCCATTTCCAGGGCAGCTCTAAATGCACCACTCCTATCACATCATTAGTAACAAGTCAACCCTCCCAGAGTCAGTCAGCCAGGCTTGCTCGGTTAGTGACCAGTTTCCATCCAGGGCAGGTGGCAGGGTGAAGGCCAGAGCTCAGAAGGCATGCTGGGGTAGGACTCTCTCTCACACTCTGCTGTTCCCCACCTCCAAAGGCGCCCAGGGTCTCCAGCCTGCGCAAATGCTCCATGCTTCTGCCAAGAGCCTCTTCCAGTCGTCCACGGAGCGCCTGGGCCCCCTCCAGCTCCGCCCGCAGAGTCTGGCCTCTCTCGGGGCTAATTAGACACGTCATACAGAAAGGGAAGAGGGTTAGACAGGCTTCACGGAATGTCCACACCAGTAAGGAGACAGAGCGGTGCTGGCTCATGTCTAACCACCACTTACTCAGAGCACTGCTCATCCGTGCTCCAAAGGTAGATCCAGCATCGGCTCCTTCCGCTTCTCTTCTAACTTTGACCAGAACCAGCTGCAGGTGCCGGGCCCCAGCACCCACCCCCCACATGGGTCAGGCACAGACTCGTACACCCACGGAGCAGTTCCCCCAGACTCACCCCCAATCCCCTGGGAAGTCAGGGCAGGGACAGTGGCTTCCTGGCCGTCGCTAGTTATCACCACTGAATCAAATACCAAGAGAAACTCCATGTGTGCGTGGTTCCTTCAGCCCCGCAGACTGCTCAGCTCCCCGCCCCACCAAGGCTCGCGTGGTGGAGGGTAGCAACGTCAGTCATGCTGTCATGGAGGGGAATGACCTGGACAAACTACTAGAAGCCCCAAGCAATTTTCAGATCAATGATTTAACAAAGGGACATGCAGCCTCTCTGAGATGTCAGGAAGCAAGGGAGGGGAAGCCAAGGGGGCGGGGAGAAATCAAGGGGAGAGGAGAATCTGAAAGGAGCATTAGAGCTCTGGGGTGTCATTAACTCCTGCTGTCTTGCCTGACTCATGTGATCTCCTCTGCCATGGGAAGGACGCTGCCTTTAATCAGCCACTCCCCAGCAGCAGCCCACTGAACAATTCCCTGCTCACACAGGCTCACGGACACCCTAGTGCTTCAACTTTTCCCTTTGAACAAGTCCCCCAGAGGGAGTGCAGCTCCTCCACCTCGCAGGACCACACGGCAGCATGAGGGCCCCCTACCTGTCTGGGTGAGCGTGGAACTTCACCAGACTGCTGTACAGCTGCCTTTCTGCTTGCAGAGCTTCATTCAGGCGACTCTTCTCCGCCACCAGCCCTTCCAGCATCAGCAACAGCTGGGGAGAGCGGAGGCAAAAAGCAACAGGCAGAGGTAGGAGCTGAGCAGAGTCCAGCCAAGAGACTGGAGTTGGTCATGTCAGGGACATGGAGATGAGGGGCTGACCTCCGCCCGTGCGTGGGATCCAAACCACCTCTCTGTGCCATAAAGAGGATCTGAGCCCCTCTTATACCTGCACGTACACTGGCACACTCTCTCCCAGGCAACAGCATTACAGTGCAGAACTGGCAATAGAGAATTAACTAACTGCAGGAACTGGAAACAGGCCTGAGCCTGCAGCCCATGAGATATCCCCTCTGCGGGAGATTTCATCAGAGCATGCGCTACCTGTTGCCGTCTGTTCCCTGTAGCCTCCTGTCCTCGTGACTCTGCTGTGGCTACTTTCTCCCGAAGCACCAGGACTTCTTGGGTCAGTCGTTCCACAGCTGGGATTTCTTCAGGATCAACCAGCTGCATCTGCAGGTCCTGAAAGCCAAGGAGAGCAGAGTTGGCTGGAGATCAGCAACAGGAGACACCCCTTGAATCGATGCAAGCTGGAATTAATCAGTGCAAGCTGGAATTACAAAGGTCCCTAGAGACATCACAGATTAGGGTCACCAACAAGGGGAACTCCTATCCCTTCCAAGGGTGAGCCAGACAATTCAGAAAAAAACCACACTCGGGGGTGTGCAGCACCAACATCCCAGAGCAAGCCTTACTGTTGCTTTGTGCTAACAGGAGCCTGACTCAAGACTCCAGACAGGATGCAAGGCACCCTGCACGCTCCAGAACTCCTAAACAAGGTCCAGGATGCACAGCAAGGGCACTCCAGGAATAACAAGATCCCCAAATGAGCATCTGAGCAAAATGATGATCTGAGCAAAATGATGGGAGACTCCTACATAATGAGATGTCAGATGGAGCCCTGGGTTCCCAACTCTTCGTGTTTTACAGGAACCATGGAGTGAGGCCCAGGATGCCAAGCCCGAGATGTTACAAGATCCATGCGTGAGATCTCGAATACAGCTCAGGAGTCTCCTCATACATCCACCTCGTTGCTGATCTCCATGGAAACCTGGCTTCCTGTTTCTGACATTTTACAGTACACTGGAAGCCAGCTAGAAGCCTCGAGGTGGGGGGAACTGGAGGTTGTTCACTAGCATCCCTGGGCAGAGATGATCAGACAGTATGTCAGGAGAACTGTAGAGATCCCACCTTTATAAGGTCCTCCTTGCTCTGGATGTTCCTGGTCAGGGACTCAATATCTGAGGCCTGCACCTGCAGCTCCTCCTCCTGTGCCGTCACCACAGACTGAAGAGAAGAGAGCTCCAACTACAGAGCAGAGACCACGGGGTCAGTGAAAGCTCCGCAACCCAGACACATGCCATAAACCCTCCATGCCACTGCCTCAATCATCCCACCCTCATGCCCCTAATCTGTGGTGCTGGCCAGAGTCGTGAGTGGCCTCCTTCACTCAGTGCAACACTACTACACGCTGTACGATGCCTCTATCTGAGGCTAAAGACAACATTTCTGAGAAAGGGGGAGGAGGGCCAAACTGGGCCCAGGAAGGAAACTTTCCTTCAGTCTCATCAAGTCAGCACTGCAATCCCATAACCAGACCCTTTGTTCACCCCTCCATCAAGAGAGGTGCCTGTGGAGTTGATGGAGGGGAAATGGAAATAAAGGACCCACATCAGTCTGTCAGCTTCATGACTTTGACACCACATGGGGACAATCCCTAGTCCAGTGGTTCTCAACCTATTTATCATTGTGGGCTGTGTTGGGCTGCAGGTTGAGATCCACAGCGTGCCTCCCCCCCAAACCTCCCTCCACAGATCCCTATGCCCAGCACCTCCTGCCCAGAGACCCCTTCACAGAGTGGGGCCAGGAGTGGAGCCCTGGGCAGGATGGCAGTGACCCCGGACCCCGCTGTGCAGGATCGGGTTGCAGGGCAGCCGGGTGGCAGCCCGGACCCCAACCCTGTGGGGCTAGCCGGCAGCTCCGACACCAACCACAGCCCTCCCCAGGCCGGCTGGCAGCCCCGGGCTGGCTGGACCACCCGGACCCCACCGCGCTAGGTGGCCAGGCAGCCAGGAACCTGGACCCCATGTGGCCCAGCGGCCCACGGGTTGAGAATCGCTGCCCTAGTCAGTAGTGAGCATAAAGGTCGCTACACCGGAAACCAGAGCATCCCCGGGATAAAGCATAGGCCAGCTACTCACAAATGTAATGATCTAGATGGTTTCCATTTAGGAAATAAGCTACCTCTGGGGTGGAACAAAGCAGCAATTTAACAGTGCACTGCTCGTGACAGGACGTGAAAAAGAAACTATATCCAACAAAAAATGCAAGAGGAATAGGGAGGCTGAATGTAATCGCCAGAGCTGAAAATCTGACCAGGACACCAGGGCTAGCACCTTCCATTCCCATGCAGGGTCCTTACCAGAAACCAAATAATAATTAATACTCAGTGCTTCCAAGCTCCATTGTGCTGGGCACTATACAAACACTGAGCAAGAGACAGCCCGTTCCCCACAGGGTGGGAGTATGAACATAGCATGGCTGTTTGAAGGCAGGCCAGGCTGGATTTGGTCTCGAGTGAAACAAGCCTCAGACTGCAGACGCTCAGGGTCTCGCCACAAACTCACCCTGCTTTCTCTTTCCTTTCTTGCCATTAGCTCCAGTTCCTCTCTGGCATTAACAAGCTCCTTCTCCAGCTCGGCAGCCGTCTCCAACGGGCCTGGAGAGGAAACCACAGCCCCAAAAGTTACATTAACGCAGGGCTTGAATTATCTACCAGACACACCCTGGTTTTCTAACTGCAAGCATTAGAAACAGAATCTTTTCCAAATTAGAGCTCAAATCCTGAACAAGTTGATGGCATTTGCACCCCTACCACGGAGATGGATTTTTCAAGGCCTTTTCTAATGCTCCTGCTCCCATAGTGATCCTCAACTACCAGCCGCCCCAGCTAGAGTCCATTCCCATTCCTGATGCTCTCCCCTCCAGAGTCCAGAATCCAGTGGCCTCAGCCCTGGGAAGAGTTCCAAGTATCCCCACCTGCCCTCCCAGATTAACCGCACTCCTCCCAGTCAAGGAGGGCAGAACATTCTGATTAGCCCAGTGATCAGCAAACACCAGCTCCCCCTCCCACACCAGCTTCCTCCACTCAGCACTGGAGTCCAGAACCCGTCAGTGATTCCCAAGCACCAGTCTCCCATCCCAAATCCAAGCCACAGTCATTGAGTGCCCCAAGTTTTATCCCCAGCCTCACAACCCTGGGGAAGGATGACTCCAGTCAATACTCCTGGTTAAAGTTCTTTGGTGTCTTTGCAGGTTGTTTGTCACGAGACAGTTCTCCCCATGGCAAAAGCCTTGGGTCACCTTCGTACTGACCTTTCTCCATCCTGTATTTGCTGTCCTCTCCCTTGGAGATTCCGGTAGCAGTAGCGTTCCCGCAACCTCCTGGCAGTAATTCCTGAAAACACAAAATGATTCCTGGTTTTCCCCCCTTAGAGATCACCCTGTGCACCCTGCACAGTTTAGACCCTTCCGCCCACCTCCAAGCCTCACCGCCCAGCGCTGAGACCAAACACGACACATGCTCCTGTACTGGTGTCACACAGACCATTGGCCAGATGGGGTTTTCAATTATGGGGGAGCTGACCAGAGGCCTGCAAGATTTTGGGGATCTCAGAACCCAGAGGAATGGAGGGAGACAAGCACAAATGGGCTGAGAGCTTAAATCTGGTGTGAGAAACAAGCTTGGGAAGTCAGGAAAGGGACTCCAAAGAGAGAGGCGTCCAGAGCAGGAAAAGGAAAAGAGGTTCTTGGCCACTATGTTTGGGTTGCACCAAGTAGCAGGGACACCAGAGAAGAGACAGCAGCAACAGTGCAAGAGATAAGAGAATGGTCTAGGGCAGTGGTCCCCAACCTTTTTCGTCTGGCGGGTGCCAGACGATGAGCCACCGAGGACCATGGCCGGCAGACAAGCATCCGCCGAAATGCCGCCGAGAAGCGGCAACGTCAAGAGGTGTCGCCGCCAAAAATCAGCAGCATTTCGGCGGCGACGCCTCTTGATGACGCTGCTTCTCGGCGGATGCTTGTCCGCCAGCCAGTACACGGGCGCACATAGATGCATTGGTGCCCGCGGGCACCGCGTTGGGGGACCACTGGTCTAGGGCTTTAATAGCTAGAATGAAGAGGAAAGGATGAACCGAAGCTGCTGTCATGAAAAAGTGGCAGGATTTAGCAATGGTCTGGATGCAGAAGGCACACAGAGGAATCAAATATGCCCACAGGCTGTATGCATGGGCAACAGTGCCAGGCCGGGGGATTTTCCATGATGGGTACCAATCTTCCAACAGAGCCTTGCCTTCTTCCAGACACCTGCTAAATCGGACACCTTGGGGGTGCTGGCAGTGAGCACGACAGTAAAGGTTACAAAGCCACTCCCAAGTCAGCCCTGTTTACACTCCCCCAGAGCCCTCTGAAGAACTTTTCTAGGCTGAGCCACACTAGCTAGCTACATAGCAGAGATATTTCTCTGTGCAACTCAGCATCGAGAATTCAGAGTTAACAGTGGAGCTCAGCCCAAATGCACGATTTTGGAAAGGTTAAGGAAAGTCTCTCCAGCTCATTGTGAGATATTGGGGAGTAGAGACAAACCACCGATGGCCTATTAGCTCCTTCCAGCCTAAACTCCATGATTCTAAACCCTATGACATGTTTTACAACTTTAAACAAAAATTAGACGTTTGTTCACCAAGAAACCATTGAAATGGTTCCAACAAAAGCAGCCTGGCTTATGCTCAGTGACAAAGGGTGCGACGTTGCACTCCGTAATGTTTTATGGAAATATGCTTACAAGTGTAAATATGATGTAACTGGAATATGCTTTATGCAAAAAGTTTCTTGTAAGGTATCATTACAAAAGGTTATAATCTACTGAGTGTGTTCATCCTATTTGTTTGCATGTATTATTTCTATGTCTGGAGTTAGGAGAATAAGACATAAACTTGTACTACTGATGTAAACACATTAAGTGGAAGCCTTTAAGGGTGCTTCAGAATCAATGAACTGTGAATGGGTTTGTTTACTTGCAAGGTTCGTTCCTGTAAACCAGACCAGGAAGAATGGTAGAATCCATCTTAAACCTGGTGCTTTTCCATTTAGAAGGAGGGGTGGGGATCCAGAGAGACAAAAGATTCCCACCTTGTGCCAAAGCTATAAAAGGGGGTGGAAGAGAACAAAAGAGATGGCCAGTCATGAAAACCCCCTAGTTACCACCTGGGCTGGAACTAACAAGGACTGTACCAGGGGAAAGGATTGGGCCCAGACTAGGAAGGCATCTAGTCTGTGAAAGAAGCTTATTGGAACATCTCTGAGGGCGAGATTTTACCTGTAAACAGTTTCTTAATGTATTAGTCTTAGACTTGCGTGTTTTTGCTTTATTTTGTTTGGTGACTTACTTTGTTCTGTCTGTTATTACTTGAAACCACTTTAATCCTACTTTTAATACTGAATAAAATCACTTTTGTTTTATTAATTAACCGAGAGTAAGTGATTAATATCTGGGGGAGCAAACAGCCGTGCATCTCTCTCTATCAGTGTTATAGAGGGCGGACAATTTAGGAGTTTACCCTGTATAAGCTTTATACTGAGTAAAACTGATTTATTTGGGGTTTGGATCCCATTGAGAGCTGGGTGTCTGGGTGCTGGAGGCAGGTGACCTGCTGAGCAGTTTTTGGTTAAAGCCTGCAGCTTTGGGGGCGCGGATCAGACCTGGGTCTATGTTGCAGCAGGCTAGCGTGTCTGGCTCAACAAGGCAGGGTTCTGGAGTCCCAAGCTGGCAGGGAAAATGGGCTCAGAGGTAACTTCAGCACATCAGGTGACAGTTCCAAGGGAGTCTCTGTGAGAGAACCCGTCGCAAAGGGGTTCCTAGCAAAGCTGATTTAAAAACACTTGACAATTGAGGATGAATACTCCAATACTGCCCACACAAGCAGCGTCTGCTCTCAGCTGATCTGTGGGAAGGAGCTGCTGAGTGACTGAGAAAAAGCTGTGGGGTTCAGATCAGGATGTTCTGATCTCACCTGGACTCCCATTAGCAGGGATGGTCTTTTTGGTTTGTGCCTAGCACAACAGGGTCCAGATCTACGTGTGGGCTCCTAATATTTACTATTTGTATTGCTATAATGCTTAACAGCTGCCAAGGGCTTCCATGTGATACACTCAGTGCTTGATCACTCTTCCCGCACAGTACGTCTCCTCACCCCCCTTCTGGTATCTCTCTGCATTTGCTTTCTTCCCACAGGCCTCTCTCTCTCCCCTGCTGCTACAGCAATCACTTCTCTCCCCCGTCCTGAGGCAGCATGCAAAGGACAGAACAATCCAGTGCACAATTCCTACTTGAAAGGGCTGCTTGTCTTTCTGGAGGAGAAGCCTGCCATCAGCCGCTGTGTTCTTCCCCAGCTCCTTCCCCACCAGCTGCTGGCGCAGGAATTGTACTTCGCCACTCTTTTCTGCCAGAGCCTGCACCATCTTCTCGGCTGCTACCTGACGCAGCGGGAAAGCAAGGCGAGAGGAGAGAAGCAGAGGTGACAAAGAGTTGGGTCTCAGTTGGCTACTGGCCCAAACCCTGGCCCGGACTCCTTGCTCTGGCAACATAAGGACAGATTTACCGATCGCTTGCTGCTGGAGCGGAGATCAGGAGCTTTCCTTTCCAACTCTAACCAGGGACTTTACTATGGGCTTTGTGGCAGCACACACAACAGTCAATGCTACAGCATTGCCATCACAGCCCCCTGCTTTCACTTACCCAGCCTTTGCTGAGTAACTCTTCAGCAGTGCTACCAAACCTTTGACTGGGATGGTGAAAACTCGCCCATGGCATGGGGGCTGCGGAGTGCAGCAATATGGGAGGAGGCCTGGAAGGACAGAGGGGATGAGGATAGAGGATGGGAGCTGGAGGAGAGAAGGGAGGCAAATGCTGTGAGGAGATAGCTGGGAGCTTGGCTTTTTAATCCTGTTAAAAAGGAAAATTCAATGCAAAACTCCAGTGACATTTAAAACTGACTGATCTCAATGCACTGAACACAGGCAATTCTGAGGGTAAGACTCTTGTGGAAACATTAACTCCCTGGTAGTCCACACAATAGTCTTGAATACTAGTTTGACTGTTAAATACAGCTAACATACAATGAACAGAGCTCCCCCCATGCTGTCCCTCCACCCTTCTGATTCTATGCAGAGGAGATGGCTCCACCAGGCTATGGGGCTTCCCTCTGGTCGCCTGATGTCACCGCTGTGGGGAAGAGCTCCAGGGTTCACCTTTCCCACGACTGCTGGCCAGGTAGTGGTGGTATGTGTGCACAGAATGCCCCGTGAATGTGCACAAGCCGAGAGCTGCACACCTTCCTCTCCCCAACCCCACAATACGCACATGCAAACCCTGATCTGGGTGCACAAGAAGAGCCCCCAGGTTTCACAACGTAGGCCTGTGGGGCACGTGGACAAGCGAACGGTGCGCTCAGAATTATTACCGTATAATTTCCCACAGACGACGAGTTGATATTTGTAACCTTACTCTGCATTAACATGGGCAAGGGGGGTATTCTCATTGTTATGTGGTTCTGAAACATGAGACACTTCCTGCAGCTCCCCCCGTGGCATCAGAGACTAGAGACCAGTTTCCACACAGCAGACCCATCACAGCCACGCTGGTCAGCGGCTGCTCTGAGCGCAACTCACTCGGCTTCGCTGCTCCCGGGTGCTCATGGCTTGAAGCAGCTCCCGAAGTTCGGTCTCATGTTCTCCAGCCTGTCTGTTCCTGTCACTCAGGAGATCCTGCAGCATCCTCTCCTTCCGCTGGAGACGCAAGCACAGATCCTCTGCAATCTCACTCTGCCCTGGGCCCAGCTTGCAGAGCAAGGTTGCTGTGAGCTCCTAGGGGAAAAGGAGGGAGAAAGGGGTTGAGACGTTCCATCTCCATGCTCAGAGAAGCCTGGCACTTTGGGATGAACGGCTGTGCAGCCTGGGAGCACCTCTCTGATCACATGCAGTCACCAGCAGAGAATCAACGCACAGCGAGCATTTATGCCAACGCAGCATTCGAGGGCCTGCCAGGATTCCAGGGAGCAGCTTTCCTGGTTCGCCCCCCTCTTCCTGCAGCACATATGGAAGGGGCTGGGCCATGCATGTCACTCAGAGGCTGACGTGCCTCTGTGCTTCCATTCTGTAGGGAGAGCCTTTGCTTCTACAGAGCCAGTAATTGTTAGTGCTCTCAAATTGAGGACTATGCTAGTTTAGATATTTTTACATTGCCTCTGATTTGCTCCCTCCTCTGAACTGCGGCCAAGAGCACAGAGATTTAAAAAGGTGACACACTGGGGGATCATAGAATATCAGGGTTGGAAGGGACCTCAGGAGGTCATCTAGTCCAACCCCCTGCTCAAAGCAGGACCAATCCCCAACTAAATCATCCCAGCCAGGGCTTTGTCAAGCTGGGCCTTAAAAACCTCCAAGGAAGGAGATTCCACCACCTCCCTAGGTAACGCATTCCAGTGCTTCACCATCCTCCTAGTGAAATAGTGTTTCCTAATATCCAACCTAGACCTCCCCCACTGCAACTTGAGACCATTGCTCCTTGTTCTGTCATCTGCCACCACTGAGAACAGCCAAGCTCCATCCTCTTTGGAACCCCCCCTCAGGTAGTTGAAAGCAGCTATCAAATCCCCCCCCATTCTTCTCTTCTGCAGACTAAACAATCCCAGTTCCCTCAGCCTCTCCTCATAAGTCATGTGCTCCAGACCCCTAATCATTTTTGTTGCCCTCCGCTGGACTCTTTCCAATTTTTCCACATCCTTCTTGTAGTGTGGGGCCCAAAACTGGACACAGTACTCCAGGTGAGGCCTCACCAAAGTCGAATAAAGGGGAACGATCACGTTCCTCGATCTGCTGGCAATGCCCCTACTTATACAGCCCAAAATGCCGTTAGCCTTCTTGGCAACAAGAGCACACTGTTGACTCATATCTAGCTTCTCGTCCACTGTGACCCCTAGGTCCTTTTCTGCAGAACTGCTACCTAACCATTCGGTCCCTAGTCTGTAGCAGTGCATGGGATTCTTCCGTCCTAAGTGCAGGACTCTGCACTTGTCCTTGTTGAACCTCATCAGGTTTCTTTTGGCCCAATCCTCCAAT